ATTGAATGCTTTTTTTAATGTGTATACTAGATACTAGAGTAATACTTGTAATTGGAGGTAATCCTTGCCCTCAAGGAATTTCTGGTTAAATAAGGAAGGAGAGTAAATTAAAGTGTGAAGTGCAAAAGAGCTGGAGACCTAGACTGAATGTCTTGAGCCTAAAGTTGGAACAGTTGGCATTCCAGTTATCTCTGGGTTTTACATCTGTGTGTTCAGTCAACCATGGGTGGAAAATATTTGAAAAAATAGTCTGTATTGAATAGCTGCAAACTTTTTTTTTTTTTTTTTTCTTTTCGAGACAGGGTCTCCTTGTAGCCCCAGCTGTCCTAGAACTCACTATGTAGACCAGGCTGGCTTCGCACTCACAAAGATCCATCTACCTCTGCCTCCTGAGTACTGGGATTATAGGCAGTGCCACCACACCCGGCCAGCTGCAGACTTTTTTTGTTACCATTAGCTAAATAACACTAGCAAGTATTTCCATATCATTTACATTGTTTTAGGTTTAAATAATCTGGAGATGGTTTAATTATATAGGAAGCAGTACATAGGTTGTATGCAAATACCATGTGTTTTTTTTTTTGTTTGTTTTTTTTTTTTTTTTTTTTTTTTTTTTTTTTTTTAAAAAAAAAAAAAAAAAAAAAAAGAGGACGATAAATCTTTCACTGTGATATATCAAAATAAGAACTCCCACAGAGACGCCTGCCTCTGCCTCCCGAGTGCTGGGATTAAAAGCATGCACCGCCACACCTGGCATACCATGTCATTTTTAAGGGATTTTGTATTCACAGAAACCAGTCCCTCATAGATCCCTGGGAGGGTTGAGTTACAAAGGATGAGACTAAAATAATTCACTTTGTTGAAGGGTTTATGGATGAATAGCTCAGGATTGACCCTTGGGGAATACTAGCTTTTGAAATCTAGATGAGGAGGGGGAGCCAAAGGACAAAATGTCAGGGATGTGTGAGGAGACTCCAAGGTGAAGGAGGGAAGATCAGTAGGTAAATATAGGAGGGAGGTTTGGCAATTTAAGGATTGAAAAGCTGTTTTCTTGTAATTCGGGAAGCCTCATGGATCTTTGTGATACTACTTCAGCAAGGTATGTGAGAAGAAAGCCAGAGGGTGATGGGTTGAGAAGAGAAGGTGGATTAAGAAGTAGAAGCTTTATGTGGAGATAATTTTTGTAGGAAAATGCTTGTGTTGAAGAGGATCTTGCAGTACAGGTGGCGAGTTTTTAAGATGAGTAAAACCAAGCAATGAACTGGTTAAGTGTACAGTGTAAAGACAAGCGATGGCAGAAACTGCCTTCATACAGTATTGGCTAGTTGGTATGAGCTCATCTCTGAGGGAAGAGGATCCGTGCCTGAGGAAATGATGTCTTCAGCATTCCCAGCATGGCCTCTAATCTTGCATCCTAGGTTTAGCTTTGGCTTTCTAAAACAGAATCGTATGATATCTTCTCTGCTTCCCCCCCCCCTCCCCAGTCTGCTCCATATAAAACAGGGAGCAAAGGCACCAAAGCCCAGAGAGCAAAGCAGTTGGGACTAGAAGGAGCAGCATGGACCCTGCTGGAGAACCCAGGGCAGCTCAACCTGCTGTCTTACTTCAGGCCTGATGTCAAAGGTACCAGTTTTCCTGAAAGAGATCAGCCCTGCTGCTGCCACTTCATTTTAGAATCCAAGTATTCACAGTAAAAGTTGTTTTATTAATTAATGACAAAAGTCTGTTAACAGCACACAAAGAATAAATGATTTTAGTAAAATAGGTTCCGAAAGATCTCTTGCTTAGCTATTCAGCTTTCTTCTTTTGCTACTGTACCTGCCCTAGTCATTTGCCCATTGTATTTTTATGTTATTTCTTTTTGTTATTTATTTATGAGTATTTTTTTGATAGTCTTTGTTGCTTATATATGTTGCAAGTGTTTGCCCCCAATTTGAAACTGGTCATTCTTTTATTTTTTTAAATTTATTTTTATTTCATATGTGTTAGTATTTTGCCTGCATGTATGTAAGTACACTCTGTATGTGCAATACCTGTAGAGGCCAGAAGAGGGTATCAGATTCCCCTGGAACTGGAATTAGAGATAGTTATTAGCTGCTATGTGGGTGCTGAGAACCAAACCTGGGTCCTCTGCAAGAGCAGCCAGTACTCTTAACTGCTGAGTCATCTCTGTAGCCCGTAACTGGTCTTTCTTAATGCCATCTTTGGTAAATAGATGGTCTCAGTTTTACTATTAATTTATTAATGTTTTTTAAGGTAATTGACTTTTTACTTTTAAAAGAAATTTCATATCCTAAGGTTATAAAGCTTTTCTTATATTATTTCTCAAAGCTTTTATTCTA